CAGAGGGGCTGCCATGAAGGTCCTAAGACGGGCTGGAGACATTTTCCCCATGGTCTTGGGAATTAACATTAGGCTCCTTGCTACTAATGCAAATTTCTGCAGCAAGTTTGAATTTCTCCCCAGAAAATGGGTTTTCTTTTCTATAGCATAGTCAGGCTGCAAATTTTCTGAACTTCTATGCTGTTTCCCTTTTAAAACTGAATGCCTTTAACACTACCCAAGTCACCTCTTAAATGCTTTGCTGCTTAGAAATTTCTTCCATCAGATACCATAAATCATCTCTCAGGTTCAAAGGTCCACAAATCTCTAGGGCAGTGGCAAAATGCCACCAGTCTCTGTTAAAACACAACAAGAGTCACCTTTGCTCCATTCCCAACAAGTTCCTCATCTCCATCTGAGACCACTTCAGCCTGGATTTTATTGTCCATATCACTATCAGCATTTTGGGCAATGCCAAATGCCAACAAGTCTCTAGGAAGTTCCAAACTTTCCCACATTTTCCTGTCTTCTTCTAAGCCCTTCAAACTGTTCCAATTTCTGCCTGTTACCCAGTTCCAAAGTCACTTCCACATTTTTTGGTATCTTTTCATCAATGCCCCACTCCTGGTACCAATTTACTGTGTTAGTCCGTTTTCATGCTGCTGATAAAGACATACCCAAGCCTGGGAAAAAAAAGAGGCTTCATTAGATTTACAGTTCCACGTGACTGGGGAGGCCTCAGAATCATGGCAGGAGGCAAAAGGCACTTCTTACATGGCAGTGGCAAGAGAAAAATGAGGAAGAAGCAAAAGCGGAAATGCCTGATAAACCTATCAGATCTGATGAGACTTATTCACTATCACAAGAATAGCACAGGAAAGACTGGCCCCCATGATTCAATTACCTCCCCCTCCATCCCTCCCACAGTATGTGGGAATTCTGGGAACTATGATTCAAGTTGAGATTTAGTGGGGACACAGCCAAACCATATCAATATTTTTGTCTCAAATTTTTTATGGTGCACCAGAGTAAAGAGACACTTGGATAGATACCTTTCAAACACCTGAGAATGCAGAAGGAAAGTAGTTAACCAAATCCATAAAAAGAAAGTTAAAAAATGAGCAAGGCATGCAAAACAGTTCTAAGCCTTCTGGATTAATCCAGAGCTGAGGGTCCCTATTGCTCCATGGAGTTGATTAGGATGTTATCAGACCTTTGTAACTGAGAAATACTGGGCCACTGACTAGCTAACTGGAGGAACAAATTAGGCATCTAATGATTAAACGGATATTAAAAGCATTTTTATTTCCTACTTTAATTGGAATTTCTTTTTTATTCTATCTTACATGAGTTTTGCTCTTTAACTCAGGAAACATATTCTGAAAGCAAAAATGTATGTGTGATATTGCTATTATTTTTTTCCAACAATAGAAAAAAAAGTTCAGCCAGGCACAGTGGTTCACACCTGTAATCTCATCACTTTGGGATCCCAAGGCGGGTGGATGGCTTGAGCTCAGGAGTTCGAGACCAGCCTGGGCAACATAGCAAAACCCCGTATCTACAAGAAATACAAAACAAAATTAGCCAGGCATGGTGGCATATGCCTGTGACCCCAGCTACTCGGTAGGCTGAGGTGGGAGGATGCTTGAGCCAGGAAGGTGGAGGTTGCAGTGAGCTGAGATCATGCCACTGCATTCCAGCCTGGGTGACAGAGTGAGACCCCATCTCAAAAAAAAAAAAAAAAAAAAAAGGAAAAGAAAAATTTTTCTTCAATGACTGGAGTTTTCTTTCATCTTACAGTTATTTTAGAGAAGCAAGGCAGTGTGACATAGTAGAAATAATTGAGGGCCATGAGTCAAAAGACTTGGTTTCCAGCTGTCATGGGAAATCATTTCATCTCTTTGAGGCTTGGTTTTCCCTAGGAGTTATTAAGCCATATACAGAAGAATTCCTTGGGTCCCTTTTAGCTTTAAGAGTCTGTGATTCTAGAAAGCAAGGAGCTGTTTCTGAGGGAGGATAAAGGAAACACACGCCGGGTGCAGTGGCTCAAACCTGTAATTCCAGCACTTTGGGAGGCTGAGGCTGGTGGATCCCTTGAGCTCAGGAGTTCAAGACTGGCCAGTACAACATAGTGAGACCCTGTCTCATTGCTGTTTTAACATTTTTTAATTAAAAAAAAAAAGAAATATAATGAAAGATGAAGGAGGCGAGAAGAGACAGAATCTAAGAAAAACAAAGAAAGCTTTGGAGAGCAAGGTACATTGTACTGTAAAGTCAACCTGCTCCCTGTTAACTTCCTTGGAAAAGTGGAATCAATTTTTTGAGCTTTTTATCTTTTCTTCTGTGTCCTGGCTGGTAGAAATACAAATAAGCACTAAACTGGAGAAAAGCAGGGAGCTGGGGGAATAAGGACAAGAAATGGAAGGATGGATCATTTAGACACTGCAATGCCAGCCCCAAGTCTTCTAGAAATGAAGGTGACAATTTGGCCCTAAAGTTCAAAAAGGTTAAAAAGGATTTTTTGTGTGTGTGTGTGCCTGGGCTGCTCCCAATAATCTTAATTCAAGAGGATCCCCATGGTTTAATTTATCCAGAATCTTCTCCTAAACCTTTTGCAGTGTGCATCAGCTGAGATTTCAACAACAGATGGTTGCCCTGAAGGTACTTTGATAGGTGAAATTTAGAAAAGATTCTTGGTCCTAAATGGAATCTAATCTTTTACTGTCTAAACCGATCTGGATTCATTTCAGACCAACTTATTCTTAGAAATATATTTACAGAGGCTGGGCACAGTGGCTTACACCTGTAATCCCAGCCCTTTGGGAGGCTGAGGCAGGTGGGCCACTTGAGCTCAGGAGTCTGAGACCAGCCTGGGCAACATAGTGAGACCCACATCTCCACAAAAAATTTAAAAACTAGCTGGGTGTTGCTGGGAGCAAGCCCCCCAAAATTCGGCCATAAGCTGGCCTCAAAATTGGCCATAAACAAAATCTCTGCAGCACTGTAACATGTTCATAATGGCCTTAACGCCCATGCTGGAAGGTTTTGGGTTTATGGGAATGAAGGCAAGGAATACCTGGCCCGCCCAGGGTAGAAAACCACTTAAAGGCATTCTTAAGCTACAAACAATAGCATGAGCAATCTGTGCCTTAAGGGCGTGTTCCTGCTGCAGTTAACTAGCCCAACCTATTCCTTTAATTCAGCCCATCCCTTCGCTTCCCATAGGGGATACTCTTAGTCAATTTAATATCTATAGAAACAATGCTAATGACTGGTTTGCTGTTAATAAATGTGTGGGTAAATCTCTGCTCAGGGCTGTCAGCTCTGAAGACTGTGAGACCTCTGATTTTCCACTTCACATCTCTATATTTCTGTGTGTGTGTCTTTAATTCCTCTAGTGCTGCTGGGTTAGGGTCTCCCCAGCCGAGCTGATCTCGGCAAGTGGCGTCCATCTTGGGGGCTCGAATCCAGGTCGAAGGGTCGCCGGAGCAATGGTAGGAACAGAAAACTAGCTGGAGGATACCCAAATACTCTTAAAGCAATCCCCATGGTGAGTAAGAAGGGGAGCTTAGAAGCATCAGGGTAACAATGGGACAGATATGGGGTCTGGTTGGTTTCACCTTGGAACTTTTTCACACTGATGACGAGGAGGAACAAGAGTATAGCAAAGTAACAGAGGAGGTTACAGAGCATGTTTATTTGCCAGCTAAAACTAAAGTGGCAAAGGAAGGAGAGGTTCATCTCTACCCTTCTGCAACCCCTCCTTACTATTTTGAAGAAAATGACCCCCCAGATCTTTCTTTTCTGGAGGACACTGTGTGAAAAGTAGTTGCTCCAGTGACTGTTCAAGCAGCACCTCAAGCGACTGCTGTTATTTCTATTCAGGCAGGAATTCAGCAAGCTAGACAAGAGGTGATTTAGAAGCTTGGCAGTTCTCTGTTAGAATACACCCCCCAGATCAACAGGGAAATATTACAGCTGCATCTGAGACTTTTCCTTTTAAATTACTCAAAGAATTTAAACAAGCAATAAATCAATATGGACCAGGTTCTCCTTTTGTAATGGGACTGTTAAAGAATGTTGCTGCTTCCAGTCGGATGATTCCTACTGACTGGGACGCTCTTGCTTGAGCTTGTCTGACTCCTGCTCAGTTCTTACAATTTAAAACTTGGTGGGCAGACAAAGCTTCCATTCAGGCTGCTTGCAATGCCCAGGCCCAACCTCAAATTAATATAACTGCAGACCAACTTTTGGGGGTTGGCGGCTGGGCTGGTTTAGATGCACAAGTGGTCATGCAGGATGAGGCCATAGAACAGCTTAGAGGAGTGTGCGTTAGAGCTTGGAAAAAAATCACTTCAGGTGGAGAACAATACCCTTCCTTTAGTGCTGTAAAACAGGGACCCAAAGAACCATACGTTGATTTTATAGCTCGGTTACAGGAGTCTCTTAAAAAGATGATTGCAGATTCAGCTGCTCAGGATATAGTGTTGCAGTTATTAGCTTTCGACAATGCTAATCTCGATTGCCAGGCTGCTCTGCGACCTATCAGAGGGAAAGCACATTTAGTTGATTATATCAAGGCCTGTGATGGTATCGGAGGTGATCTGCATAAAGCTACCTTGCTGGCACAGGCAATGGCAGGACTGAGAGTAGACAAAGGAAATACTCCTTTATCTTGGAGCTTGTTTAACTGTGGGAAGCATGGTCATACTAAAAAAGAATGTAGAAAAAATCAGCAAGTCCGGCCACCAGATAGGGGAAAAAAAGAAAACTGCAGATCCTGAAATATGTCCAAAATGTAAAAAAGGAAAACATTGAGCTAATCAGTGTCACTCTAAGTTTGATAAAAATGGGAACCCAATTTCGGGAAACGCAATGAGGGGCCCGTCCCGGGCCCTGTTCTAAACCAGGGCATTTCCAGCTCAGGCCATTCCCTCACCCCTGTACAATGTCTGTCCCCCACCACAGCCGGTAGTGCCGCAGTAGATTTATGCTGCACAAAAGCTGTGAGCCTTCTGCCTGGGGAATCCCCGCAAAAGCTCCCAACAGGAGTCTGTGGACCCTTGCCAGCAGGGACAATAGGATTACTTTTAGGAAGTTCTAGTTTGAGTTTAAAAGGGGTACAACTGGTGTGATTCCGTCCTGCGGGGCTGTTCCCTGGAGCAGCGTTCGTTTATCTCCATCCGCCTTCTCTCCCACCTAAGTGCGTGCAGCCACCTGATGGAAGATTTGATGGACATGAACATGAGCCCCCTGAGGCCCCAGAACTATCTATTCGGTTGTGAACTAAAGGCTGACAAAAATTATCAGTCTAAGGTGGATAATGATGAAAATGAGCACCAGTTATCTTTAAGAACGGTCAGTTTAGGGGCTGGTGCAGAGGATGAATTGCACATTGTTGAAGCAGAGGCAACGAATTACAAAGGCAGTCCAATTAAAGTAACACTGGCAACTTTGAAAATGTCTGTGCAGCCAACGGTTTCCCTTGGGGGCTTTAAAGTAACACCACCAGTGGACTTAAGGTTGAAGTGTGGTTCGGGGCCAGTGCATATTAGTGGACAGCACTTAGTAGCTGTGGAGGAAGATGCAGAGTCAGAAGATGAAGAGGAGGAGGATGTGAAACTCTTAACTGTATCTGGAAAGCGGTCTGCCCCTGGAGGTGGTAGCAAGGTTCCACAGAAAAAAGTAAAACTTGCTGCTGATGAAGATGATGATGAGGATGAGGATGATGATGATGAAGATGATGATGATGATTCTGAAGATGAGGAAGCTAAAGAAAAAGGGCCAGTGAAGAAATCTGTATGAGATACTCCAGCCAAAAATGCACAAAAGTCAAATCAGAATGGAAAAGACTCAAAACCATCATCAACACCAAAATAAAAAAGACAAGAATTCTTCAAAAAAACAGGAAAAAACTCCTAAAACACCAAAAGGACTAGTTCTGTAGAAGACATTAAAGCAAAAATGCAAGCAAGTATAGAAAAAGGTGGTTCTCTTCGCAGAGTGGAAGCCAGGTTCATCAGTTATGTGAAGAATTGCTTCTGGATGATTGATCAAGAGGCTATTCAAGATCTCTGGCAGTGGAGGAAGTTTCTTTAAGAAAATAGTTTAAACAATTTGTTAAAAATTTTCCTTCTTATTTTATTTCTGTAACAGTTGATATCTGGCTGTCCTTTTTATAATGCAGAGTGAGAACTTTCCCTGCCACGTTTGATAAGTGTTGTCCAGGTTCCATTGCCAAGAATGTGTTGTCCAAAATGCCTGTTTAGTTTTTAAAGATGGAACTCCACCCTTTGCTTGGTTTTCAGTATGTATGGAATGTTATGATAGTACATAGTAGTAGCGGTGGTCAGACGCAGAAATGGTGGGGAGACAAAAATATACATGTGAAATAAAACTTAGAATTTTAATAAAGTAAAAAAAAGGGGGGGTACAAATACATACAGGAGTCATTGATTCAGATTACAATGGGGAAATTCAAATTGTTATATCTACTTCTATTCCCTGGAAAGCAGAGCCAGGAGAGCACATAGCACAGCTCCTGATTGTGCTGTATGTGGGAATGGGAAAAAGTGAAATTAAACGAACAGGAGGATTTGGAAGCACAAATAAACAAGGCAAAGCAGCTTATTGGGTAAATCAAATTACTGATAAATGTCCTACCTGTAAAATAACTATTCAATGAAACAAATTTAAAGGTTTGGTAGATACAGGAGCGGACATTTCAATCGTTTCTCTACAGCACTGGCCATCCACATGGCCAATTCAACCCTCTCAATTTAACATAGTTGGAGCTGGTAAAGCTGCTGAAGTATATCAAAGTAGTTATATTTTGCATTGTGAGGGGCCTGATGGACGACCTGGGACTATTAAACCAATTATAACTTCTGTACCTATAAATTTATGGGGAAGAGATTTATTACAACAGTGGGGAGCACAAGTTCTAATTCCAGAACAATTGTATAGCCCTCAAAGTCAACATACAATGCGTGAAATGGGGTATGTCGCTGGTATGGGACTAGGGAAAAATTTGCAAACTTTGAAAGAACTACTTCAAGTGGAAAATCAAAGTTCCCGCCAAAGATTAGGAAATAATTTTTGATGGTGGCCATTATTAAGCCTCCAGAACCTATACCTTTAAAATGGTAAACAGATAAGCCAATATGGATAGAACAATGGCCACTAAGTAACGAAAAACTGGAGGCTTTAGAGAAATTAGTTACTGAACAATTAGAAAATGGGCACAGAGCTCCAACATTTTCTCCTTGGAATCTTCTAGTTTTCATAATTAAGAAAAAATCAGGAAAATGGAGAATGTTAACTGACTTAAGAGCCATCAATTCAGTTATCAACCTATGGGAGCATTACAGCCAGGATTGGCTTCTCCTGCTATCATTCCAAAAAATTGGCCTTTAATAGTAATAGATTTAAAAGATTGTTCCTTTACTATCCCTTTAGCTGAGCAAGACTGTGAACAGTTTGCATTTACAATTCCTCCAGTAAACAACCTGCGGCCAGGTAAGCGTTATCACTGGAAAGTGTTGCCACAGGGCATGTCAAACAGCCCAACAATTTGTCAGATGTATGTGGGGCAAGCAATTGAACCTATTCGTAAAATATTATGTTATCATTGGAAAGTATTGCCACAGGGCATGTCAAATAGCCCAACAATTTGCCAGACATATGTGGGGCAAACAATTGAACTTACTCATAAAATATTTTCACAGTGTTACATTATTCACTATATGGATGATATACTTTTTGCTGTCCCATCTCGAGAAATATTACTCCAATGTTATGATCACTTGCAAAATTCGATTTCTCACACTGGTGTAATTATAGCTCCTGACAAAATTCAGGCTACTACTCCTTACTCTTACTTGGGGACCTTAGTAAATGACACTACCATTGTGCCACAGAAAGTAACCATATGTAGGCCGGGCACGGTGACTCACGCCTGTAATCCCAGCACTTTGGGAGGCTGAGATGGGCGGGTCCCGAGGTCAGGAGATCGAGACCATCCTGGCAAACATGGTGAAACCCCGTCTCTACTAAAAATACAAAAATGAGCCAGGCATGGTGGCGGGCGCCTGTAGTCCCAGCTACTCAGAAGGCTGAGGCAGGAGAATGGCATGAACCCAGGAGGCGGGGCTTGCAGCGAGCTGAGATTGCGCCACTGCACTCCAGCCTGGGCGACAGAGCAAGACTCTGTCTCAAAAAATAAAAATAAAAAATAAGGTAACCATACATAGGGGTCAACTAAAAACATTAAATGACTCTCAAAAATTACTAGGAGATATTAATTGGATACGACCTGCTCTAGGCATTCCTACCTATGCCATGAGTAGTCTATTTTCTATCCTTAGAGGAAATCCTAGTCTCACCAGCCCTCAGCAATTAACAAAGGAGGCTGAGGTCAAGTTACAGCTGATTGAAAAGCAAGTCTATAAAGCTCAGATAAATAGAATAAATCCAGAGAAGACTCTAGATTTGCTAATTTTTTCAACTCAGCATTCACCTACTGGTGTTATTGTCCAAGAATAGGACTTAGTAGAGTGACTTTTTCTTCCACATACTAATTCACGGACTCTAACTCCTTATTTAGATCAAATTGCTTCTATGATAGGGATTGGGAGAACTCAGATTGTTAAATTACATGGATATGATCCTGGAAAAATTATTGTCCCTCTCATGAAGGCACAAATACAGCCAGCTTTTTTTTTTTTTTTTTTTTTTTTTTTTTTTTTTTTTTTTTTTGAGATGGAGTCTCGCTCTGTCGCCCAGGCTGGAGTATAGTGGCATGGTCTTGGCTCACTGCAAGCTCTGCCTCCTGGGTTCATGCCATTCTCCTGCCTCAGCCTTATGAGTACCTAGGACTACAGGTGCGTGCCACCACGTCCCGCTAATTTTTTGTATGTTTAGTAGAGATAGGGTTTCACCATGTTAGCCAGGATGGTCTCAATCTCCTGACCTCGTGATCCATCCACCTCGGCCTCCCAAAGTGCTGGGATTACAGGCATGAGCCACCGTGCCCAGCCACAGCAAGCTTTTATAAATAGTCTTACTTGGCAAACCCCTTTAGCTGACTTTGTGGGTATTCTCAATAATCATTTTCCTAAAACGAAGCTATTTGTTTCTGAAATTAACTAATTGGATGCTCCCTAAAATAACTAAATTTAAACCAATTGGAGATGCTGAGAATGTTTTTACAGATGGATCTAGTAATGGTAAAGCTTTTTATTCTGGCTCAAAAAGTAAAGTTTTCCAGACATCCTATACTTCAGCTCAAAAAGCGGAGCTTGTAGCTGTAATTGAGGTATTGGCTGCTCTTGATATGCCTATTAATGTGATTTCTGATTCTTCATATGTGGTTCATTCCACACAGTTAATTGAAAATGCTCAGTTACGATTTCATACGGAGAAACAACTGATGACTTTATTTACCCAATTGCAAACAGCAGTTAGGAGTAGAATGCATCCTTTTTACATCACTCACATTACAGCTCATATACCTCTTCCAGGACCTTTGACTGAAGGGAATCAAATGGCTGATCGCCTAGTTGCTAATGCAATATCTGATGCTAGATATTCACAATTTAACCCATGTTAATGCCTCTGGTCTCAAACGCAGATACGACATTACCTGGAAAGAAGCTAAAGCTATTATCCAGCGATGCCCAGCTTGCCAAATGGTGCCTTCCTCATCTTTTACAGGAGGAGTTAATACTCAACGAAGACTGGAACCTAACTCTATTTGGCAAATGGATGTCACACATGTTCCCTCATTTGGGAGACTAGCTTATGTACATGTATGTGTGGACACGTTCTCTCACTTTGTCTGGGCTACATGCCAAACAGGAGAGTCTTCCGCCTGTGTTAAACGTCACCTTTTGCAGTGTTTTGTGGTGATGGGCATTCCAGCTTCTATTAAAACAGATAATGCCCCAGGCTATACTAGCCAAGCTCTAGCTACATTTTTCCCTATGTGGAATATTAAACACATTACTGGTATCCCATACAATTCTCAAGGACAAGCCATAGTGGAAAGAATGAATCTCTCCCTAAAACAGCAGTTGCAAAAGCAGAAAGGGGGAGAGAGAGAATACTGAATACCCCAGATACAACTGAATCTAGCATTATTAACTTTAAATTTTTTGAGCCTGCCCAAAGGCCAGATGTTATCAGCAGTTGAACAGCATCAACAGAAACCAGCTGCAAACACAGAAACAGAACAACTGATTTGGTGGAGAGATCCAATAACAAAAAGTTGGGAAATAGGTAAAATAATAACTTGGGGTAGAAGTTATGCTTGTATTTCTCCAGGCCAAAATCAACAGCCAATTTGGATACCATCAAGACACCTGAAACCTTATCATGAGCCAGATACCAAGGAAGAGACTCTGGGAGGATCCTGAGGACCCCTCGGTTGCAGCCATGTCGAGACTGACGCTGAGGAGGACCTCAACTGTCATGAGCAACACCTGTCGAACACAGCCACCCACCTGGGGACAGATCAAGAAGCTGTCACAGATGGTGGAAGAAAACCTGAGGAAAGCAGGACAACCAGTCACAATGAATAATTTAATGGTAGCTATGATAGTGGTTATCACCACTGCCGTGAGTATCCCTTTGATAAGGGCTGGCAATAATGCCTGGATGCAATCACTATGACACAGTCACACATGTTTTCTGATCTCAGTATTTACCATAATAACTCTGCTCCTATAATTGAGGCATACCGCCCTCAAAAACCTATTTGTAAAAGTATGGCAATAGTTCCTATTACTGGAACCACAGCGGTATAGTGGCACTGCAACCTCAAATGTTTCGGCCCACTCTAGGAGCTTAACATAAGGATCTGTGGAAACTATTAAATGCTCTTAATAAGATCAAAATTTGGGAAAGAATAAAAAAGCATCAAGAAGGACACTCTACAAACTTGTTTTTGGATATTGCAAAATTAAAAGAACAAATATTTAAAGCATCCCAGGTACACTTGACCTTAATGCCAGGAACTGGAGTGCTTAAAGGAGCTGTAGACAAATTAGCAGCTAGTAACCCATTAAAATAGATAAAAACACTCGGAGGCTCTGTGATTTGAATGATGACTGTGCTTTTAATCTATGTTGTTTGTCTTTGTAGAGTCTGCAGATGCAGATCCCAACTCCTGTGAGAAGTAGCTCACCGTGACAAAGCTGCCCTTGCTTTTTATCTCTTTGCAAATCAGAGAAGGGGGACATGTTGGGAGCAAGCCCCCCAAAATCTGGCCATAAACTGGCCCCTGAACTGGCCAAAATCTCTGCAGCACTGTAACATGTTCATAATGGCCTTAATGCTCGCACTGGAAGGTTGTGGGTTTATGGGAATGAGGGCAAGGAACACCTGGCCCGCTCAGGGCAGAAAACTGCTTAAAGGAATTCTTAAGCCACAAACAATAGCATGAGCGATCTGTGCCTTAAGAGCATGTTCCTGTTGCAGTTAACTAGCCCAACCTGTTCCTTTAATTCAGCCTATCCCTTCGTTTCCCATAAGGGATACTTTTAGTCAATTTAATATCTATAGAAACAATGCTAATGACTGGTTTGCTGTTAATAAATATGTGGGTAAATCTCTGTTTGGGGCTTTCAGCTCTGAAGGCTGCGAGATCCCTGATTTCTCACTTCACATCTCTATATTTCTGTGTGTGTCTTTAATTCCTCTAGCACTGCTGGATTAGGGTCTCCCCAACTGAGCTGGTCTCAGCATGTGTGGTGGTGTGAACCTGTGGTCCCAGCTACATGGGAGGCTGAGGCGGGAGGATT